TTTTTTTTTTTTTTTAAGACTGTATAGTCCCATGTATATCAAAAAACCAATGAAGCAATCAATTGAAAAAGACCAGCCTGACAAAAACAAGGAGAAAAATACTACTCCGATAAGAGAGAATAATTCAAAAAGGAAGTAGTCCAAAAAATAAAATATAAAAAAACAGCTTAAAGAGAAAAAGAGGATTGAAACATTTCTAGTGCAGTTTAACATTTCATTCTATAATCTTAAATGCAGTTTAACACTTCAGGGTTGAACAATATAATTACCAAAGGGAGACTAACGAAAATAAATTTCTTCATAGATTTAGAGTGCCTAAAGTAAATAATGCATTAAAAAAATGAAAATTGGAGAAGTTTTAAGACCAAATGGTGTACCTTTCGAGGTTTGGAAGTGTTTAGAGGATATCAGAGTATCATGATTAACTAAATGAGTTAATAGGAGCCATGCAATGATAGTTTTCAAGAGAATGACCAAGAACCGATTAAGACTTGAAACAACCATATTTGAGAATCAATTTTGATTTATGCCTGGGCATGCAATAATGGAAGATGTATACTTAGAAGACTAATGGAAAGGTATAAAGAGAAAGACTTTAATTAGAACAACTTTAAGGGAAAGTAGTGGACCCCCACTTACAGAAGGTCTACATCAACGTTCCAGTTTAAATGTGGATCTCTTTGCCTTTATCATGAGCGAATTGACTAGACACATTTAGAATGACATTACATGGTATATATTATTTGTCAATAAAATCATACTGATCGACAAAACTAAAATAGGAATTAACAACAAACTAGGAATTTTGTAGTGAAACTTAAGAATCAAAAAGGTTTAGGATAAAAAAAAATAAAAATAAAATTGAATACATGGGCTGAAACTGTAGTATTAGTCAAAATTCAAATATTAGTAAAGATAGAAGATTAAGAGAAACCTAAGAGTGAACACTTTTAGTATTTGTAGTGAATAATATTTGGGAGAGAGAGACAGGAGACAGTAATTAAAGTAGGATGGACAATGTCGAGGATGCATATGGCATGGTATGTAATCAACGTATACCCATTAGATTGAGGTCCAAAATGTGAAGTGATTAAGAAACAACACTATTAAGAGATGTCTTATATGCCATGAGGGGTATTTATGTACTTTGAGTCATATTATTATAAATATAGGAGGCTATAGGAGATAACCCTAATATGATTCTTGGGGCATTCTCTCAATATCCCCCACGTTCTCAAAACTCTCGTCCCCTCTACATCTTCTCTTTTATGCTCTTTTCATATTCTAACATGGTATCAGAGTTTGATCCGTCGTTAGTTGATATTATTTTTATTCTATCATTTTTTCACTAATGTAAATCTTCTTTCTTCCTCCCACAGTTTTTGTCGTCATTTTTTGCTGAACCCTATAAAAAATTAAAAACATTTCAACATGATCAACTACTTTTAAATACTCCTAGAAAACTACTAAAAATTTTTCAAGTTTAGAAGACTTATTTTTCTTTTTTTTTTCTAATTTTTCATAATTTTGGTCTATTTTTCCAAAATTGTTTTGGCTTATTTGATATACTCTGATGGCTTGAATAGCTCCCTTGGGATGCAAATTACCGTCTTGTTATTACTTAATTATTGTTTGATCCATTTGATGGTTCCTGGGCCAAATCTAAGATGTTTCTTATGTTTTTTTTTTT